GGTGTTGTCATTTGTAACCTTCCCTCAAAACAAAGAGAGAACACTGTAGTTTTTTTCTGCAACTGGTCTGATTTGCACACCATCAAGTGGCAATATGTGCCTTTGGCAAGCGAATTAATGGGATTAAAACAGCTATCAAGCATGCTGCAGCAGAAAGATTCCCCCGCCTAGCCGCACATTGTTATCACTACGGTGAATCCTCACAGTCATAATAGAAAATGAATATCATTTCATATTTTAAAACTCTAGACAGAAGCCATTAGCAATTTATTTTTCCCAAAGAACCAGCTAATTAAAATTGTAAATAAGATTGTGCTATGTTGGCATGTACTCCTGCGAGTCTCATGAAGAACCAGAGCATAGATAGCTAGATGACTGTTCTGTGCATATTACCACCCAACTTCCCTTCCATCTGCCCATACTCCCATCAGAGTAAAGGGCCACACTCGGGGGAAAGAAAATTTATGCAAAAGGCTTCCACAGCAGAAGGCAGAATTTAAAAAGAGGGAGACCCCAGAGAGCTCAGGAAAGCTGGGTGTCTGAGGCACTGTAAGAAGCAACAGAATATTTTCCTACTGGGTTTAGTAGGTGAGTTGTTGTTATTATTATCATTATTAATTGAAGATCAAAAGAACTGGATTTCCGAGTGGGAAATTCAAAAACACATGTTATGACAAAAAATCTAAAGATCAACCAATTTTCACTTTTTTTCATTTTATTTATATACTATATTTAGTAGGGTATCACTCCCACACTCTTGGTATGTTAACAATTGATGGCCTCTCCTGGTACCAATTCATAGATAAAATTTAGAAAATTTCTGATTTTTCTTCTGTGATTTAATAATATGCAATTATTTCTTTGTATTACAGATTGAACTGCAGAGCCCCAAAATTTATATGTTGAAGCTCTAACACCCAAGTACGATAAAAAGTGATCGCATGTAGAGACAGGGTGTTTAAAGAGGTAATTAAGTTAAAATGAGGCCATTAGGGTGGGATCTAATCCAATCTGAGTGGTATCTTTATATAAAAAGAGGAGGTTAAGACATACAGAGAGATACCAGGGGTGTGTGCTCAAAGAGAAAAGGCCACCTGGCAGCACAGTGAGAAGGTAGCCATCTGCAAGCCAAGAAGAGAGGCCTCAAGAGAAACTAAACCTGCCATCACCTTGATCTTGAACTTTTAGATTCCAGAACTGTGAGTAAACAAATTTCTGTTGCTCAAACCACCCAGTCCATGACATTGTTATGGCAGCCCTAGCAAATTAATACTCTCAGTAATGGTCACCTTTGCTGGAATTGGGTCTTCAACCAATGTATAAAAACTTGACATGTGAAAATAAAACTCAACAGGTAAGTTATTAGTTGATCATTTTCAGTCACAAAATGATATACCTAGGACTTCGTTAAATTATAAGTTCTTTGGTACATTATAGAGTTACTTCAATTCACAGGCCATTAATTTCTACCAACGAATGAACAATCATCATTAAGTCAATGCAGATTATTGATTGAAAAATGTACCTGACCTGACCACCCCCCATCTAAATTGGGCCCTTTTCTTAAACTCTGTCATAACATCCCTTCCTTTTCCAACATAAGACTTATTAGTTTGTAATTATATATTTATTTGTGAGATTATATACTTAACATCTATCTCCCCACTGGACTCTCCATGAGACATAATCATCTCTGTCTTGTTCACCACTATATGCTCAGTATCCAATACAATGTCTGATCTTTAATTATTTGTTAAATGAGTGAATAAACAAGTGATAAGGTTCTTAGAACCTTAAGTTGGGGAGGTTGATTGACAGGTTTTAGGATTCCCCTGTATCTCCGGGAACTGTCTTTAAAAATGTGTTCATATACATTTCTCTGAAGAGAGGATTCACAACCTTCATTTGATTTCAAAGGGATCTGTGCACTACCCGAAACATAAGGAACCGCTGGCCTATTTCCGTGTGGTAAAACAAGATTCAATATCAGAAGACTTACCTGCAGCCTAAAACAAAGTATGCTAGATTTACATTTACATGTAATACATGTAATACATATACCCACATGTGTGGGTATATGTATATGTGTGTGTATAATTTCCAAGAACAGAAATGCTGCAGTGAATTTACGGAACAATCCACATTCCCACTTCCCCTGAGTAACTGATCATTCCTGTAGTCACTGAGCTCCAGCAGTAGCCACTTGCATACATTTGTTTCTTGGCAGCAACATCCATTACCCAGGCCAGAGAAAAGGAATCTGTAATTCCCTCCTTTCCCCTGCTTGGGATGCTGACATCCCTCTTTGCAGAAGTTTCTTTTAATAACAAACCTTAAACCTCCCATTTAACAAAGGCACCAGGCCATGTTTATCAAGCACAGGCGTGCAGGCAATTTGATCCAAAAACCCTGGGATTTCCCTTCCCTCACCCTGAAGCCAGAGAGGAGATCCAGACTAATCAGGCCAAGGAGGCCTCTGAGTGCTGTGTGCATTCACAGTGAGGGAGGCTACTAGATGGGCTGGGACACACTAATTGGCTGTTGTATACTAAATCTCTTCTCTCTCCCAGTTCCAGAAGATACTTCCCTTCAGTAAATTTCCTTCCTTAAAATGGAGACTTCAACAGTAAATCTGTCCGAAGAAAGGTTTTTGATGTGCTGTTAACTCTCAGTTATCCATACTAGCAGAGAAGAGCAGTTGTACAGATAATTCAAAACCAAAGGCTCTTTTGATTTAACTTTGAAGTTCACTGTTTCTAGGGGCGTGGTGGTGGATTTACCTCCCTAATTATGGTTGTCTTTGTTTCTTATTAAAATGAGTTTGTCTGCCTTAGGGCCAGGCAGTTGGGTGACGTGAAAATTCTGGCACAGAATTTGTAAAACTCACCAGGGAAAATCCACAAGGCACACAAATAATCAGACTTGATTAGATTTGAGTTCACGTTCTTAATCACCTGTTATCAATTGCTTTGCTACTCTACATTAAAGGGAGACAGAAATGAGATATATTTACGGGAGACCAGTGGGAAGAGAATGAGTCTTTATATTTAGATGAAGACACAAGACTGTGTTGTGGCCAAGACTGATAACACAATCAGTGTTGATGATTTTCCTGCCTGGTCTCACAACCTTCATCTGCCTGGTCTCACAACCTTCATCAATACAGCCAGAGTGATCTTTCTATGCAAGTCTCATGATGTTCACCTCTACCTAACATCCTTCAGTGTGCTAGTCATTAGAGCTGTTCACAACCATTCTGCTCTCTCCTTCCCAGCATGTGATAGGACTGCACGATGTCCCCAGCCACTTCAAATTAGACGTGGTTCTGTGATTGGCATTGGCCAATGGAATGTAAGCAAATGTGTCACTTCTAGTTGGAAGGTTTCAGAGCAAGCGTGTGTCCAGCATTTGTCCTTGGGTACATGCTTCGTCTGGCAAGGCTGGCAGCATCTGAGCTGGCAGATCTGAGCTGGTGGCTATACCATCAGCCCAGGTCTCCCTGGGTGGCTATGAAGCAGAGCTCCTACAAGCTAGGGATGGGTGTGTGGTAGGAACAATAAACAAACCTCTGTTGTTTTCAACCACTGAGATTTTAAGGTTCTTAGTTAACTCAGCATATCCCTATCACTACATATATCAAGCTGCACCATGATTGTCTAAGTTTTCTTTCTCTAGTTAGACATTGAACAACTTGAAGCCAGAATTATTTAATTAAAAGTAATGGCAAAAGCGCAATTACTTTTGCATCAACCTAAAATATTTCTTCTCCAGTGTGTTAATTCCGGTGCACAGCATATTTAAAAGAGCCTGGTAGAAAATGAAATTCTCTTCCTTCTTGGCCTCTGTGATTCACCTTGTTTCTGTTTTTCTAACACTTGCTCCACTCCCAACATCATCAGCTACAATGATAAGCTGTCTTTGTTTCTCAGATATATGAGGAAGGGTGGAGCTAGTCTTCTGGACCAATAATTCAGGTAGGAAGAGCTGGTGGAGGAGACAGGCATTCTTAGGCTGCAGGAGTTTGAAATATAGTGGCTTCAAGGAGCAGACACAATTTTGAAACAAAGGGTAACCATGCAGGGAAACAAAAATATATCCCTAAGTGTTAGGTTTATGAAGAATAAGAGTGGTCGTATGGACTGAACTCCTCCATCCTTATCATTATCATAACACCAGCGTTTACTGATGACTTACTATGTGCCAGGCGCCGTTCTCATTGTTTTACAGTTAACACATTAAATCCTTGCAACAACCTTATATAGTAGCTATTATTATTTCCATTTTATATATAAGGAAACTGAAGCATAGAGAGGTACAGTAAGTTCTATCTGGCCACACAGTTAGCAAACATCCCTCTCTGAGTGTTCAGCATCTGCCTGAACACTGCCCATCATGGAGAGCTCACTATCCTCCACTGCATCCCACCCCACCTCCCGCTCTGAGCCATGTCCTGCCTCCCCCTCAAACTGCCATCCCCTGAACATTTCTGCCTTCTAAACAAACATAAAGCAATTCTACTCTTTTCTCTTTAAGGCAGTCCTTTAAATATTCGAAGGCAGCAATCACATGTTCCTTAGGGTTTCTCTTCCCCAGTCTAAACAGCCCCAGGTCACTCAACCATTTCCAATGTGCCACAGCTTGAGGCCCCTCACCATCCCAGCTCAGTGACTCACATATGCTGGGGACAAAAAAACGTTGGCTAAGTCAGTGAAGTGGAACTGGTGGAACTCGCCCTTCTAGACTTGAGCTGAGCCAATGCCTCCTACAACCCCCAGCACATTCTTTCACTGTGTAAAGCAGGATCTGGAGGCATAATCTGCTGCAGGAACAGCTGGCTGGCCACATGCCCTGCACTCATCCTCATTCCAACAAATGGAATACCAAAGGGTCCGCATGTTCACAGTTCTTCCTTGAGTGGAAAGTCTGTTTCTGTCCCTCCTCCCCCTTCTCCCCACTCTCCCACTCCCAGAGGCAGCCCTGAGAACAGCCCCTCAGCTCACCATAGAGTTCATGGCAAAGTGATTGTGCTGCGTCTGGAGGTCGAGGGCGTACTGGTAGCTGACTCCGATCTCCGTGTGGCTCTGTAGGAATAACTCCTTGTTGTGGCTTATCCAGTCGAACATCTAGAGGGGACAAGAAAGCACAGCGTAATCAGAATAGTCATGGGTCGAAAAGGGCAAAACTTTCCGAGCTAGTGGAAGGGGGAAAAGCTCTCTTGCTGCTCAGTTATTGTTCTGAGTCGGAGAGTCTTAATGGGGTGGGCCACAGCCTGGTTTCTCAGGAGGGCCCTCACTTTTAGCTTAAGAACCCACCAGCACTTTGGGAGGCCGAGGCGGGCGGATCACAAGGTCAGGAGACTGAGACCACGGTGAAACCCCGTCTCTACTAAAAATACAAAAAATTAGCCGGGCGCGGTGGCGGGTGCCTGTAGTCTCAGCTACTCGGGAGGCTGAGGCAGGAGAATGGCGTGAACCCGGGAGGTGGAGCTTGCAGTGAGCCGAGATTGCGCCACTGCACTCCAGCCTGGGCGACAGAGCGAGACTCCATCTCAAAAAAAATAAAAAAAGAACCCACCAGCAGCCGCTGTGTTGCATTACAGAGCCTAAGAGAAAAAGAGAAAATGAGTGAGATGATTGGGAGATGGGAGAGGAAGCTGTTTACCATTCCCAGCATGCTTGCTTTAGGGACAGGTGCTGAGGAGACAAGCTGGGAGGCTTAATGCATCTCCTGCTGCACTAGTAGAAGACAGAAATCTTTGAAGAAAGCAACAGGGACATCCTTACTCGCCCCTGCCCCTCTTATACACTGCCCAGCCACACACAATGTTGAATTGATTCTGAACTGAATCAACTTTTCTCATAACTCTGCAGCCTCACGATTCCAGGGTTTCTGCTATAACCAACTGGGAAGCAGAAAATGAGGGTTTTAAGGGTGGTATAAGTACTGCCTGGTGCTAGCACAGTGGGCATTGAGCCATCTTCCTCCTCCTAACTCCATACCCTGGTTTTCACTTAGGTATCCAGCCGTCTTCCAGGCAGCCCACATACTTCAATGGGAGCTGACCAGAACCCCTGGCTCTTTGGGACACCAGACCTAAGCCAACCAGTGCATGACATTTCCCAACCAATGGGATTGTCTCAGATATAAGAATGTGATCCAATTTAATACAATAAAACACAAGGGAAGTTTGCTAGAAACTTACAGGAAAACAGAATCCTAGTTATTTAGTTATAGCTTCTCTTCCTCCAGTATTGTTGTATGTGGCTCTGACCTCAAATTGTTGCAGCCATTCTTCTGGCAGCCTAAGGGTGAAGCCAGTGGGTAGAGAAAGGGTGGAGCCAAGACAACTGCAGGAAGCAGGCAGAGCCCTGGCTGAGCGTTGTCTGGTTTCCACTTTGTCTCTGGACTTCCTTGGACCTCAGCCAATAAATCCTCTTTATTATTAAAGCCAGTTGAAGTTGGACTTTCTGTAATTTTCTGTCCAGAGCAGAAAATTCTACTCTTTTCTCTTTAAGGCAGCCCTTTAAATATTTGAAGGTAGCCATCACATGTCCCTTACAGTTCTCTCTTCCCCAGAGGAATGCGGACTGGAAGGGAAGAGAAAATGGTTAGGAGGCTGCTACAGAAAACCTGATGAGGGTGAGGACCTGGAAACTCAACCATTTCCAATGTGCCATAGCCCGAGGCTCCTCAACATCTCAGCTCAGTGACTCACACATGCGGAAGACCAAAATACAATGGTTAAGTGAGCAAAAAGCCAGGAAAGGTGTGAAAGAGTACATTTGGAGAAGAGAACTGCACTACTTAAGCCTCACACTGCATTTGGGATGGACTAAAGGCCGCAGCCCAGTTGCAGAGTGGAGCAGGAAGCAGCTGAGAACAGAAGCAGGCTAAGAAGTGGCCATAATTGTACCAGCTTTCCGGAGCCAGAACTGCAGCCTTATCCAATTATGTCCCTTTAACAGAAGAGTGAATTGACTATTTCAATTACATTCAACCAATATTTATGGGACACCTGCTATATGCCAGGGACCGCTGGAGGTGACATGAGGCAAAAATGACTAAAATATGGTTCTTGAGTATTAGTGGCTTACAGGCTAATGTGGAAAGTTGACATGGACTCAGATACAACTTTATTACAATCTGGCACACAATGTGATTAAAATTACAACTCAAAAAACATCTACTGATAAGATAGAGGTGAATACTGGCTGTTGAGGGAGAACAGAGGCGGACACCTCACCTATCCTTGAGGAGATGGGGAAGAGCAGAGAAGGCTTCTCAGAGGGGGTGACATCTGAGTCGAGCCTTGATTCAGGTAGGAATCAGCGAGGTGGCCAGTGGGATGCATGCTCAGGCAAAGCAACAGAACTGGGGCAGCCTACTGTGTTGAGGACAATGAAGGGTCCTCAGCTGTGTTCTGGAGCCTGACATCAAGGAGGAGGTGTGGCTGGGGAGGTAGGTGGGACAGGCTGACCACAAAGAGCCTTGTACACAGGCTTCGGGGAACCTAGACCACACATTGTCGGCTGCCAGGTGTTGGTGGAAGGTTTTAAGCTGGATTGTGAAGTGTGAAGTGAGCTTTGATGGCAGTGAGGGATGTGGACTGGAAGGGAAGAGAAAAATGGCTAGAAGGCTGCTCCAGAAATCCTGACGAGGGCGAGGACCTGGAATCCTGGATTAGGGGAGTGGCAGTAGAGTCTGAGAAACTGGCAGATTTGAGAGCTACTAGGAGGATTGGAGACTTGGTTGTTTAGAGAGGAGAAGGTGGGGAAGAGGTAGAGAGAGCAGCCAGGCTTCTGGCATGGCACCCTGAGTCCTGGTAATAAAAAGTACCACCACAGATGCTGCCTCAACAGTAAGGTAGGAAGCTTGGGTGGGAAATAGTATGTTCTGTTCTAGATGTGCTGAGTTTGGGAGGCTTATGAGAGGGGAGGTATCCAGTAGGCAGTTATTTGTGTCTAAAGGTCAGGAGAGAGACATCAGGGCTGTAACAATCCACACTTAAGTATAAAAACATCACCTTCCAAAGGCAAATGTGCATGATTTGCAGATTATTCTCCCTTTTGAATTACACTTCCATCTACTTACACCGACAGTAAAGAAAGGACGAAAGGACCATTCTTTACTTCTGAGTGTCAGAGGATTTATTTCAGGCTGGGGCTCCTGTAGAGGTTGGGTCGATATTTGTGCTTTGTGCACTATACTGGGTCCTCCAGCCTCAGCTACCCTCACATCACAGGCATTTGTTCAAGGCTTTTATTTTTTCTTCTTTAATTATTATTAAGGACAAGAAGGAAAAGACAGACGCCCCAGGAATTTAGAGGACTCTCATTCTGTAATTTTATCTTTAAAAGCCTGCCTCCCAGCCCTATTTTAAAATAATTTCTCATTTCTTTTCTTTATTGACAAAAGAATCAATAAAGTTAATGAAAGTCTGAAATGCCTGAAGTCCTTGGAACTTGTGATGAAAATGCTCACTCCATACACTTTCTTGGATGTCTCAGTAGCCGATAAGTGACCTTCCCTGTATTTTATGTTAAATGGTGATTTAGATATGCAAATAAGTAGATGACTTATGTGCTGGCACCAGAATGATTAGATTGCTTGGCACCAGATCCCTCGACCACAGAGTAGGGAAAGCTGAACACCAGCCAATTAGGGCGGAAAGCAATGCAAAAATGAGTTAAAGAAAGGTGAGAGTTGAGAGTGCTGAAGGAACTGTGCACCTTGCTGAATCAGCTTCTTACAGAATGAGGTCTGCGCCCATGTCATCCCAACTGATTTTGCCTCCTATATTTGGAGCATACCAGCTTGTCACTGGGGTCTGGGACATTCTGGAAAAGTTTAGCTGTCACTGGAGGTGGTGCTCCAAAGAGGTGACACACATCTCAGCAGAGAGAAAAAGACCTGCTCTGGGGATTAGATGGTCTCATGTGATGTCAGGAACTAGGGTTTCCTAAGGGACAATCACAAGTCTTCTCTGGGCCTAAACTTGCTGCCTACTTGCATATAATCCTCACCTTTGCAAGGCTGGCTGTCTGCAAGGGTCATAGTCATCTCTGTTGCATTCAGTGGAACTGGTGGCAGAGGTAGAATGTGTGCATGCATGAATGCATGCATGTGCATGTATATATACAGTCAAGTGAGATGAGGACTAGGCTGGTTCCAGGCCCAGCTCTGTCACTAACTCCACATGAGACTGTGGAAGAGTCACTTGATTTCTGGTCTTCTCCTCATTTGCAAGAGATAGTGGTTTGCAGAATGGAAGTAAGCATCCTGCTTTATAATAGGCTCAATCTGGAAATGTACAGAATGCGTTTTTTCCACCCAAAATAAAAAATAGTTTTGTTGATTCTCCTGGATCAGAAGATATGTTCATTGCTACAACTTACACTTCTATCTTTTTGAATAAAATAATGTCAGTGAGAAAAATGGCATTATTTTATAGCCAGAGAAGCTTCTGGGCTTGGTCATGGGTGCCTGTAATCCCAGCTACTTGGGAGGCTGAGGCAGAAGAATCACTTGAACCCGGGAGGCAGAGGTTGCAGTGAACTGAGATTGTGCCACTGCACTCTAGCCCAGGCCACAGTGTGAAACTCCATCTCAAAAAAAAAAAAAAAAAAAGAAGAAGGGAAGAAGGGAAGCTTCTTAGTCTCAGCCCTGACAATTGTGTGATGCTTTAGAGTTCAAAATGTTCACTCACCCTTCATCATTACATTGCATCCATAAAACAATCCCACAAGGTGCTATCATCAGGCCCACTTCACAGGCAGGAAAACAGGTTCAGGGAAGTAAATTCCAGGGTGTAGATTTAATTCATTCTACCCAAGGCCACATTCACCATTGAGCCATGCTTTGGGGACACCGCCCTGCCTCCTGCTCATATGGCTGTAAGACTTGCTCTGCTTGAGCTCCACAGGGCAGTTACCCTTAAAAGTTAGCTGAAAGGGCATTGCAGTACTCCAGCTGGGGTAAGGTGCTATTCCTCAATAGGAACATTCCCCTGCCATTATCTAGCCTGCTCCTCCTTCTCTGCCTCCTCCTTCTTCTCCTCTTCCTCCACTGCCTGCCCCACCAAGATGGAATACCAGATGTCTGGGGACAGCTGATTCAAATAGCT